TACCCCGAAACCTCAGTAGCGAAACACCACCACCACCACCACCACCGCCACCGCCACCGCCACCGCCACCGCCACCGCCACCGCCACCGCCACCGCCACCGCCACCGCCACCGCCGCCGCCGCCGCCGCCACCGCCACCGCCACCACCGCCACCACCGCCACCACCATTACTACTGCGACGGCGACAGCCGCAGCGACGCCGACGACGATGGCGATGCCTACTGCTGCTGCCGGCGCCTCCTGCTGCTGCTGCTGCTGCTGCTGCGGCGATTATGAACAGTCCTGCGATACACATATGTATGTATGTATGTATGTATGTATGTATGTATGTATGTATGTATGTGTGTGTGTAGAGGTGTGTATGGATGTATGTATGCATGTATGTATATACGTATGCATGTATGTATGTATGCATGGATGGATGTATGTATGCATGTATGTATGTATGTATGCATGGATGGATGTATGTATGTATGCATGTATGTATGTATGTGCTGATCGCGATAATTGGAAGAATCATGATGCTGATATGGACACGAGTACTAGTGACCATGTAAATCGTACCGCGGTTTAAAGGCTGCCGCGGGTTTCGAGCTGAAGCTGGCAATGTTGCGGCGAGCAAGTTTTGCGGGTGTATGCTGTGCAAGCTCAGCAGGCACATCATAGCATGCGGGTTCTAGCAAGGGCGGTGCCCTCGCTAGACTTCTACATGCCAGTCTTTAGACAGATTCCACTCAGTTTACTGTTTACTGCGTTTTGGTTCTTGGTTCCCAGGTCTACAGGGCTGAGGAATCTCGGATTCTCGGATCTGGACTTGTGGGAGTTGCGTCCTATCCCGTGCTTGTGACTGGCTCACTTGCCAAGAGCAATCATCAGACAGGGGTCTGCGTTTTGTTGTCCTGTTGCCGAAGTCCTACTCTGACTCTGACTGTTTCTAAAGGTGGTATGCATGAGTGCGAGCCGGCTGCCAGGCAAGTTCTGAGCTGCGGCTCTCCAAGTCCAACGGGTCAAGCTCCTTGGAGACCACCTTCGAGGTGAGACAGGGGCCGTTTTTCTTTGCAGACTCTAGACCCGCCATGGTCGCCATGTTGCATCAGGAGGCGAAAGCTGCGGATGCGGTGCTTGTGATTGAGGGCATCCGCCCAGACTCCCTTCTCAAACTTGAGAAGCGAACCCATCCTCCAGCTCTCAATTGCTGTGTGTTGCAAAGGAGAACTTCCTGGACGATGCCGACAGTGGTCTGGACACGACATTCCAGCAGTTGGCATTTCACATCGAGCGCTTCTCTGGTGTCGTGCTGCTGTTGGTGACCTCGGAGGATGTGTTCCGCCTGCAGCTCCTACCGCAGGCACGGCACGGGCATCGCAAGGGGCCAGGCAGTTGCACATGTCTGTGAAACATCTAAGGAGTTTGCCCGCTTGATCAAGCAGCTTGTCTTCAATACCAGATCTTAGTCCCATCTGTGGGGTCAGACTCTGCCGCCAGTTATGGCAAGAGCGTAGAACTGGCAATGCCTCATGTTACGGGGTAGGGGCTGCTGAAGCAATGAATTTGTGCCAGTCTGTGGCTGTGCATGGATTCCCGTACCATGTTGATGTTGTCGCTGTGGCGAGGTTCATGGTCTTTTTTGACCATCCCAGCGCCGCGCAGCGAAAGGCACTGTGGCGCTCAGCGCTGCCACCGCGCGTGCCTTTGGCATCGGACGTCGACTTCGAGGCCCGCCGCCCAAAAGCACGAGCTTGCGACGATCAAAGTTCATATGTTTCAGACTCACACCGTCACCATGGTACACTGAAGTCCTCGGCAGACGCGATGTTGCCTGTGCAGGAGCTCGGTGGCCGCTTCGACCTCAACGCCGATGCCATCGCCTCGGCCGCCTTCCGCGCGGCGGCCGCGGCAGTGCTGCGGCAGGGGGAGGAGCGACAGGTGCTGCGCGAGGACATCTGAAGATGGGAGAGAAAGCTTGTCTGCAATGCTGACATGCTGGCCTACATGTAGCCAGTCAAGCTTGGACAGTGCAGGACCTGGTCACTGCAGCGGAGCTGGAGCAGTCCATCATGGACAAGTCAAAGAGCGCTGTAAGCTGTCGGCCTTGTGTCGAGGAATTCCTTCGCAAACACCGCTACACCGAGACTTGGCTACTGCAAAGTCACAATGAACAGTCAACGAGAATGCGGTTTGCAGTTGGATCTGTGGCACTTGCCAGTGGCTTCCCCGCTCATGTGTTTGGAGTCCGAGGAGGTGAGCAGCTTCCACAAGGTTTACTTGTTGAAGGAAGAGCGCGAGAGGAGAAGATCTTGGAAAGGCGCGGCGAAACGACCACCCAAAAAGACCAAACACAAAACACGGGAAACTGTGTTTCTGCCAGCAGTATCCCATTTGAAGGCTGTGAGCGGCTCTGCTTGCAAGTTCGAGCGGCAGAGCTGGATCGCCTCTTCGTTCCCACCCTGACCTTGGATGGCATGGAGGGCTCTTACCCGGAAATGCCTCCCTGCTCGCATGCAGACCTAAGTCGGACACCGGTTTCGGACGCTCCTTGCACTTCGAGGTTCAACCAGCATCCGAAAAACATGGGCCTCTGCTTCAGCATTGCGCCCAGTGGGCGGGATGTGTTGCTTATCGAGGCAGGGACCAAAGGGCCAAGCATTCCAAGAGAGAAGAGCATGGCAGAAACCAGCGCAGCCAAGCGATCACACAGGCCCAGGACAGGCTGAGCAACGAGGACTTGGAAGGCAGGACATGGGACTTGCCAAGTGCTGTCGGTTTGACCACAGATGAGTGTCAGACGAATTCTGCAGTACATCGTGAGGCACTATGTACTTCAATGCCAGCGGCGGTATGCGACCTGGCCACATCGCCAAGCTAGAGCCTGTGGCACAGAACGGGATGGAGGAGAATCTGATCGCAGACCATGCTCTTGACCACACCTTGCCTTGCACCTTTGCTTGCACGCTTGGAGGAGTTCTTGCTTGACCTGACAGACTGGCTCAAACGCTTCTCCGAGTACTTCAAGGGAGACATGGAGCACACGCAGATCCTGGCATCTCGGCATGGCTTCAGCAACTTCAGAGGCACGCTGTGTGCCCTGTATGCTGCAGGAAATGAAGGGCTACGCGTCAAACTTCTTGGTGCGGTGCTCGACGCAGCAGCCGTCAAAAATGCCAGTGAAGTCTGCGCAGAGTTCGCTCACTGTGTACTACACGGCTCCTTGTACAGCAGTTACTCTTCTATGTTCTGATCCACTCCAGCTTGTGTCTTGGAACTGGTGATCACTAAAGTTACTAAAGGTCTTGCGCCTCACAGGCACATTCGGATTCCCTTGTTGAGATTGTCAGGTGGCTTTCTCGGCATTGCCAGAAGTCCCCATGGTGCCGCGGCCATCTGATCCTCGGGTTGGCTTCTTTACCAACTCCATCCTGGTAGGTGGGCCACGGCAGGCGACGACCATCCAACACGTCATCTCTAGGTGGGACCTAACAAAACACGACGAGCTCCAGTATGTCATCGATCGGGCTGTACCAAAGCTGTACCATGAGACCATCAAGAAGGGCGTACATGCCTGGAATGCCGCATTTGAGCCGGTGGTTGGCCGACCAGTGCTTCGCTGTGTGGGCCCAGATGACAGTGACTACCCGGAGGAGTACCATCCAGGCGATGGCCGCCACATCGCGATCTTCATGACCAACCCATCGACAAAAGGTTTGCTGGGTTATGGTCCAAGTGCCTTTGATTATCGAAGTGGTGAGATTTTGATGGCCAGCGTCATGCTAGGCTTGAAGCCGCATGTGAAAGTGCCCTCCGACTTGTCGGAAACCTTGCTAAAGTCACCGGACAGCAACTCCTGCCAGCAGCCGCTGCTAGACGCAGACGACCCGGACGTCATGAAGTACTTGTTGGAGACTGTAGTGCATGAGGTGGGGCACACCCTCGGACTGCGACATAACTTTATCGCAGCAGAGGACGGGCACTCCTCCGACGCTTGTCTTGAACTCGACAGCACGATGGACACTCCATCCTCTTTGCCTCCCCCCGTGAAACACAACTAACATCGCAAAAGAAGCTATATCGTAGACCCGAACACAGAAAACCAACAAAACCCCATGGAATTCTGCGTGGATGTCGCGACTTCCCTGATAGAAGTGTTGGATGTGTTAGATGTCCTCGTAAGTCCACTAATCGCTGCACCAGGTCATGGACTACCCGGATGACCTGGATACTTCCGATCCTGCCAAGCCTGTCTTCGGTGGACACTTCCTCGGCGGGCCGGGCAGATACGATCACTATGCCTGCTACCCAAGCCTTGGAACATGCGTTGCTTGGCGGTTGTCAGCATTCTGCATTCGACAGCACTGACTGAGGCCATCAGCTACGGCTACACGCCGCTGGAGGAAGTTCGCGGGCAGCGCCATGCCAAGCTCGAGCTGTTGGCAAATGGCCAGTCGGTTGAGGAGGACCCAATGCCGGATGTTGGTGCGAAGAAGACGCGGCACAGTGCTCTGCACCCCGACAGGAAGAGGTTTCCGCCGAGCCTCAGAACCCGCTGTTTGCCTCGGACGATGATGTAGGCAGGGTGGGTTTGGTGATCCGAAATGCCACTGGGATTCAGCTTAAACACAAGAAGCGAGATTTCGCAGATCTTGAAGACTCAAACAAGTCCATCGTAGCCCCTCGTACCTGCATCCCTTCACACTTTTTCTGAAGTCATGTTGCCGTGCTCTTTCCTCTGGTTGTCATGGCATGAGACAAAGCCTTCAGGCGGCTTGGATCCGCGAGTGCAGCAGCGGATGGCTTCCATCGAGCGCATGGGCCACCTGGCATGAGCTTGCAAACCCGTTCGTCTTTGGCGAGGGGTGGAGGCTTTCCCTGGTTCACTTTCTGGCCTCAGGGTGGTGCTGGGAAGCTGAGATACGAGAAAAGTCCCGTGTTTACGACCTTTCCACGGGTGCTTTCAAGTGCCGTAGAGCGCTGGCAATGGGGAAGATCACCAGCTGCAGGTGTTGACAAAATCCTATGGGCGCTGCAGCGTCGGAAGATGCTGCTCGAACACGTGCAAAGTTCTCACGTTGATTGTGCCAAGTCAGCAATAGTACGTCCTGCCGACACGCGCGCACGCACGAAGTAGAGACGGTGATTTGAAGGGAAAAGCTAATTCCCAAGTGCTTGAGGCAACCTGTACAGCCAGCGGGTGCTGAACACCCTGGAGATGCTCAGCTGCAGATGATGCTACTTTTCCATTGTTTCGTAGCATGTCAAGTCATGTTTGAGAAGCACCGGAATCCCGGGACCAGCGGCAAGTTCTGTATCGGATACCATTTGCAGGATCTGCACCCGTGCTGTTCTGGCAGCGGGTGCCTACATCGGCGGCGCCCTAGTGGATGCCCGGCGCAGCGGCGTGCAACGCGTCGAAGCAGAGGCGGCACTGAGATATGTCGTGCCTTGGTCTGCCTTGGGAATGCTGTGTTTTGCTGTCTGGGCTCAGGACTCGCTTGTGTTCCTTTCTTTTCGTTCACCGCGGCGTGCTTAGGCCGTCGCTCTACACATGTTGGTCGGCCCCGTCTTCCGTTTCGAGGGCGGCGAAAGCGACCGCCTCCTCGTTAGGCCTGCAGTTGCTTTGGTGCTCGATCATCAAGAAACAGCGTAGAAACATTTTTGTGGTACCTGATTGAGAGGCGAGATGGGGAGTATGGTGTCGCCCGCACCAGCGTTCTGGAGCTGCAGGGCCAAGCCCCCTGCCAAGTTTGATGATGTGTTATTTGGATCAGCATGGCCCGAGTTGCAGCGAAGTCTTGAGCGGCGCATCTGATTGTAGCTGAGCTCCCGATTAGGACCATCTTGTTCGTGTAGTGTTGAGGCATGCCAGAGCATCCTGGGCCGACTTCTGGACCCAGCTGTACTCGCGCGGCACGAGGGCCAGCGCGAAACAGCCGTGGAGCCCAGGTGGGAGCGATACCAATTTTGGATACAGCAAAGAGAAGTAACATTAATTATACTTGTCACTAAGAAGTACTTGCAGCAAAAGCGTTCTGTCCACAACTGATTCTAAGCAGCATCCTGCTCTGGGGGCCCCTCGGCTTGTGCATGGAGGCCCCACAGCACGCTGGAGCTGCTTTCTGCCCTGGCTTTTGGCAACCTGGCAGCGACGTATGGAGCTCTCTGCAGGTTAGCTGTGTTGCACTTGTGAAGAGTTGCGGCGTGTGCAGTGTATAGGCAGCAGCTCTGAGCATTCACCTCGAAGCATCGATGACCTACAGCTGCGAAACAGGTAGTTAGCATCCACTGCCTTTGTTGTGCTTGCTTCAGGGTTGTGGTTTGTGTTCTCAGACTTCAGCCACGTTCATGGCACTGGAGCAAACTCAAACCGTTGCAACTTGGACAATGTAGCTACGAGCTGAAACTTCCAGTGCTGGATGAGCAAGGCATGCCCAGTGACTTCGACCTGGGACCTGCCAAGGAGTTAGACAAGGCCGGTGCCATTGCAGATAAAACGCAGATAAAACACGTTCAACTCTCGTTAAAAAGTTGCTAGGTCCTTGGGGGAATTTGATACGTACCTATCGCATCAAAAGCATGTACTACTTCACTGAATCACGTTGATGCATGTCTTCGCCAGGTGCCCGATGGTCTCTTGTGGCCCCTGAGCCATGACTTCCGCTTGGAGGAGGCCCTCGTCTGCAGCTTGAAGGAGTTGTCGGGACAACGAACACAAGGCTTCAGCAAAACTGCGGCGCCTTCCACAAGGAAGCAGGGTAGGGGTACTTCCAGAGACCGTGGCACCGTCTTTCAAGGGAGTTCTCGTCCAAACGAACACAAGGCTTGAGCAGGCGTTTTTCACAAGGAAGGGTGGGGAGGCGCTGTGGAGTTCTCGTCAAAACGAAGACGCGGCCCGAACTATATAGAATTTCGAACGGGCCAGCCAGCATTCGGATGTAGGGGCTACACGGAAAGAAGATCTCGAAGAGGAAAAGCGGTCAGCCGAGCCAGCGTGGCTACCGTCTGCCATCGACTTCAAGCAAAGCTCACGGAAGGGCAGAAGTCAATTCTGGCTTTCATGCAGCCCTGCATTGAAACTTTTGATGATTGACGTCTTTTGATTTTGAACATGTTCCTCAGGGCCACGTGGCCAGCCTGGCCGCTGCCACAGAGGATCCACTAGCTTGCCAAGCCCGCTTGGCCGCCTGGCCAAGGAGTCTGCACTTCGGGTCGTTTTCCGAGACCGGAACTTTTCTGCTGCATTTCTGCTCTTTTAACATGGTTGCTTCGTTTTCTGTGCAGTTAAATTGAACGCAGGGGCCATCTGAGGCCTTTGCCAAGCTGGTCAATCACCTGGCTCGCGATCCGGGTGTCCATGCCCTGGTGAGGTGCCGACTTGGTGGGGCCCGGGAGCACAACCACAACCACCACCACAACACCAACAACATGAACAACAACACCACCAGCTAGAGCTACAGCTACAGCAGCAACAGCAAGCAATAGCAGCAACAACCAACCACCAACACCACCCCCAACAATAAGAACTTGTGGCATCATGTTACCAGCAACAGTATACGTAGCAATGCAAGTCCTAATCATAGCACGAATGACGACATCAACAGGAACAACAGGAACATCAGGAACGACGGCAACAACAGCAACAAAACAACAACAGCAGCAACAACAACAACAACAGCAACAGCAACAACAACAAGGTCACGGCAACGTAACGGATCCCAGGTTTTTTTGGCGTTTGGACCTCGAAAACGCCGCTCCCACCGACAAAGTTGGACTTAGCGGGGGTGGGGGGGCGGGGGGGGGGGGGGTAATAGGGCCTTTTTTCGAAAAGTCGATTTTGCTTTTCTCGTGTAT